CAGAATTTGGAATAGTGTTATTCACAGCAGATAATTGCAATGCTTTGTAGTTTCACTTCTGCCTGACTTCCAACTAAGTACCTCTTTATGTCTGTTATTATATGAATCATTCATACTTTAATTATGTAAACTTACCTATACACCTTTTTTGTATGTGTGTGCATGTCTTAATAATTCATATAGCTCCTTTGCTTATTTATTTAATACAACTGCAGTGGAAAGATCATTAAAATTATAATACTTCCTTTGTCATCACTTATGGCTTATCTTGTTTCTTTGTTAATAGATACTCCTTACTACTGAGTTACTTTCAATTTTTTAATTGACAAATTATAATTGTATATATTTATGAGGTTCAATCTGATTTATCGATACATATAATGATTAGGTCAGGGTATTTAGCATATCTATCATTTTATGAATTTATCATTTCTTTATAATAAGAACATTCAAAAGCCTCTTTTTGGGCTATTTTATAATACATTATACCTTATGGTTAACCATCATCATCCTATTGTACAATAGAACATCAGAACTTATTTCTCCTGTCTAGTCATAACCTTGTACCATTTGAGCAATTTGTGTGTGTGTGTGTGTGTATAATTATATAATCTCTATATATACACACACATGCATATATATAGAGAGAGAGCGAAAGAGAAATACATATATATATGTGTATATATATATATATATATATATAGAGAGAGAGAGAGAGAGAGAGAGAGAGAGAGAAGTAAGAGAGAGAGTGTGTGTGTGAAAGATTCTCACTCTATCACTCAGGCTGGAGTGCAGTGGTGTGATCATAGCTCACTGCAGCCTCAATCTTCTGGACTTAAGCAATTCTCCCACCTTAGTCTCTTGAGTAGCTATACTACAGGCACACACCATCATCCCCAGCTAATTTTTGTATTGTTTGTATAGACAGGCTTTTGCTATGTTGACCAGGGTGGTCTTGAACTTTTGAGCTTAAGTGATCCTCCCGCCTCAACCTCCCGAAGCGTTGGGATTACAGGTATGATTTACTGTGTTTAGTCTGAGAAATAATTGAGAAGTACAGTAGTCTTCCCTAATCCACACATTTGCTTTCCACAATTTGTTATTAATGATCACTGTGGGCCAAGAGTATTAAATGGAAAATTTTAGAAACAATTAAAAATTGTAAAATTGTGCCTCATTCTGAGTGGCATGATGAGATCTCATTCCATCCTGCCCACAATGTGAATCATCCTCTCTTCAGTTTATCCACATTGTAGAATGCCCGTTAGTCACTTAGGATCCATCTCAGTTATCAGAGGGACTTTCATGGTATTTCAGTGCATGTGTTCAACTCTTTTGTTTTGTTTTGTTTTGTTTTGTTTTTTAGGGGGAGCTATTTACTTAAAGAATCATTTCTTCCCAGCACTTTGGGAGGCTGAGGCGGGTGGATCACGAGGTCAGGAGATCGAGACCATCCTGGTCAACACGGTGAAACCCCGTCTCTACTTAAAATACAAAAAATCAGCTGGGCATGGTGGCGCGTGCCTGTAATCCCAGCTACTCAGGAGGCTGAGGCAGGAGAATTGCCTGAACCCAGGAGGCGGAGGTTGCGGTGAGCCGAGATCGCGCCATTGCACTCCAGTCCTGGGTAACAAGAGTGAAACTCCGTCTCAAAAAAAAAAAAAAAAAAAAAAAAAAAAAAAATCATTTCTTTTTCTTTTTCTTTTTTTTTATAATAAGAAAAAGAATAAAGAAGAGGAAGAAAGAGAAAGAGGAAGAGGGAGAGAGAATGGGGGTATTGCTTTATTGCCCGGGCTAGAATGCAGTCTAAATATGGGTATGCCTATAATTGTCCTTAATAATGGAGACATAAAAGAAAATGAGGGAAGAGAATAACAAACAAGGAGCCAACCAACATTTCGTTTAAACTTCTAAGTTGATATGATGTAGTACTGATAAGAGTGTATATTTCGTGTATTTAAAGTGGAGAGTTCTATAAATGTTAATTACATTTCCTTGTTCCAGATCTGAGTTCAAGTCCTGGATATCGTTGTTAATTTTCTGTCTCATTGATCTGTCTAATATTAATGTTGAAGTCTCCCACTATTATTGTGTGGGAGTCTAAGTCTCTTTATTAGTCTCGTATGTCTGAGTATTCCTGTATTGGATGCGTATAGATTTAGGATCTTTAGCTCTTCTTGTTGTTGCGTTGATCCTTTTATCATTATATAATGTCCTTCTTTGCTTCTTTTGATCTTTGTTGCTTTAATGACTATTTTATCAAAGGCAAAACTTGTAACTTCTGCTTTTTATTTATTTATTTTAGCTCTCTGTTTGGTTGATAAATCTTTCTCCATCCCTTGTTTTGAGTCTGTGTATCCTTGAATGTGAGATGGGTCTGGATGCAGCATACTGATGGGTTTCAGTTTTTTAATCAAATTGCCTGTCAACTCAGACTGCATTCAGGAAGAATTTCCACATATGAATTAAGCAAAAGGGAGGAGAAGTTTTCTAGGCATGTACAAAACTCACCAGGTATGTTTAAAAAAATGTCCTGGAAGAAATTTTCCTGGCATGCACAAAGGCCCAGAAAGGAGAAAGAAATAATATGTGTGTGCATGACACTTCATTAGTATTGCAACTGGTTCAGTTATACTAAATGAGTATTTATGGTACTTTCTGTGAAGTTACAAACTTTGGACCTTTCCGGTGTTTATATTTTTATGTTTTTTGGTTATTGTTTAAGAATAGGACTTCTCTGTGCCACTTTCATTGTAATTTACCGCATGCTATAATTCAGCTCATAGCTAATGGGTGCTTTATAACTGTTATTGACTAATTTTAGTGCTTGGGGCAGGTCTGTAAATATATTTTCAAGTTTGTCATAATGAGTGAGGATTGATATGTATGTTGGTCCTTTTAAGAGGAAGTAAGAATGTGATGATTACAGTGTTTTATTGGCAAACATTCAGTTTCAGGTTACTCTTGGTAAAGTACGTAAATATATATATATATATATATATATATATATATCACAGAATGCAATTGCTCTAGGCAAAGGGTTATTTATTCTGGAACAAACCACAACCCACATTTTAAATCAGAGGCTTCTGGCATTATAAAGATAGAATGGGTTTTCAATAGTCCAGCTCTCTCATATTACAGATGAAGAAACTGAGACCCAGAGAGGTAATAAATGAAAGAGACAACTCTCAATTGTGATAAGATTTTTAAAATGTCATGTTTGGCTTTATTTCTAATACTTTTGAGAAAAACTTCTGTAGCTGTTTGCCATTTCTCTTCTTTACATAACGTATATAATCAATTAGTGCATTAGTAAACTACCATATATAGTATTAATATAAATATTTTTTTCAAATTGTAAAGCAAAGACCTGTAAAGAAAGAAGCTTGAGGCTGGGCGCGGTGGCTCAAGCCTGTAATCCCAGCACTTTGGGAGGCCGAGGCGGGTGGATCACGAGGTCAAGAGATCGAGACCATCCTGGTCAACATGGTGAAACCCCGTCTCTACTAAAAATACAAAAAATGAGCTGGGCATGGTGGCACGTGCCTGTAATCCCAGCTACTCAGGAGGCTGAGGCAGGAGAATTGCCTGAACCCAGGAGGCGGAGGTTGCGGTGAGCTGAGATCGCGCCATTGCACTCCAGCCTGGGTAACAAGAGCGAAACTCCGTCTCAAAAAAAAAAAAAAAAAAGGAGCTTGAGCTTCATATACATATATATGTATAACTATAGCCAATATATATATTAATTGCAGTTAGACTAATAAAAATATGTTTTTATATATTATATGTTTGATATGTAATACATATTATAATCAATATATTATACAATACATAATTTGTAAAATAACAAATATACATATAAATATATATTTATTTATTTACTGGTCTAATGTCAGCCAAAGTTAAGGAATTCTAGAGGGAAGAAAGTGGAGATTGTTATTTATTCTAGGTGCCTTATGGGGGACAAAACTTAAATAAATTACCTTAATTTTGTGTATCTTTCTCACATACAAATGAATATTTAAAGATACATCTCCAATTTGTTGCTCTTGTTTGCTGAAAATTATTTTTGTGGAGGCACAACAGTTAATCTAAGTTAATATTCACCATGTTTCTATTAAAAAGGCAATGCAAATATCACAAGTCTCCTTTTACAGATGAGGACCTTGAGGCACTTCAGGATTAGGTTTTTTTAATGTCTCTCAGTTAATAGGCAGCATAACTGATGTTAGTACATGATCTGGGACATCAGTCCTCCAGTTCAGCATGCTTTGCACTCATCAGAAGAACAGAGGAGGGAGAGAAGGAAGAAGAAGAAGGAAAAGGAAGAGGAAATTTAGAAATTTGTTTTGTTTATTGTTCATTATTCACAGTGTTTAGCACAGTCATACATTGTTGTTTTCAGTCTTCATACTAATTATACATACTTCATATATACCAGAGATTATTCCATTTTACAGTTTAGGAAACTGAGTCTCAAAGAAGTTATATTTTTATAGTCACGCAGTAAGTGTTAGAGATACTCTAAAACCTGTCTTTGCTGATAGTCACACAGCAAGTATTAGAGATACTCCAAAACACTGCTGCACTCCCGCGGTTTTAAAAAAATAAATTTTGCATAAAATACTTTAAATTTTATTTCTTTAGGAAAAGTAGATTAGAAACACTCAAAAACAAAGAAACCAAATTCTGGCCGTGAAGCATGGTGTACTGGTAACATCAGTGCTCTTTTAGGGGAAAATATAAATACGTTTCTGGACTAAAGTGAAAGCAGAGAATTAAAAATTAATATCAAAACCGAAACAAAGCAATGTTTTGTGAAATAGACTTTAATAGCCACACAGTGGATCAAAAGGTATGATCTCACTTCATAGTAAAACAGGTCCTGCAAGCCCAGGTACCTCAGGAAGCAGAATGGTAATTATTCACAGAAGAAAGCCGGCAGTATACTGTTACAATACTACAGTTGAAAGTCAGAAGGTCACAAAGCTAGCAGGGTAAGTGACCCGACTTGAAACTGCTTGGCCCTCTTTAAAAAGAAATAATAAAATGGGAGAGAATGAAGCAAGTTTACCTAACACTTCTTTGCAAGGTAAGTACCAACAGCCTATGAAATGTTCCCAATCAGAAACTTAAGTAGCGTTGATTACAAAGTGTGTGTTTGTGTGTGTGCACACACGCGTCCCTGCATATGTGTGTTCAGGTGCCTTAGCCCTGTTTTAAAGACCTGTGTGTGTGTGTGTGGGTGAGAAAAGAGGTGGAGATTGTTGAATCAGAGGAAGCATGTTTTCTCGGTTGTTTACAAAGGCTCAGGCAACCTAGAATCACAAATTTGGGGGAAGGTATGGAGAGCTTTATCCTTAATGCCCAGTATAATTTTGAAGAAATGGTATAACCAACTTCCAGTGCGTTTTCACACTGGACCTTTTCCAACATTAGCAGAGTCTTGATTTTTGTCTCTACCTGTGGAATGTTTATTGGTAATTAAGTTTAATATATCTGGGGTTTACCAGCTAAGTTTCCTTGTATTTAATATAACTACTTTTTTTAAAGGTAGAAAACGGGGGGTCAGGGGAGAGCCTATCAGTTAGGAGGGTGTGGTTTATTTTGCAGGTGTTACTTAATCGGATACCTTTGTCCTTTGAAAGGATTGACTTTGTTGACATTGGCTGCACTAGGTATCTCTGGTTAGAGGCTTGTTGACAGAAATAGATTCAAATTCAAGGTGGCTCACATTTCACATTTTTGATTAAGAAAAGTTCTTTCTTAAAGAAAGAAAAGAAAGTAGATATTGTGCCTAATGCATATTTGTTATAGACTTCTAGAATACCGTGAGATGGTATAGACCTGCATGGTCCTAAAAATACGTCACCTGTTTTATAGTTAAAATACTGTATTTTTCTTTCTTTTCATCTGTCTTTTATCTGTGTAGCCTGCTTGAGAATCCCAGAATCATTTTCTTAATCTCTGCATATTTCCTAAAAATCTTTCTTGAAATATTGTGTAAAAGGCTACTATAAAGCATTTTTAATTTAAAAGATTAATTTAAAAGTGACATAATAAATTATATAAAAGAAAAACAATAAGATAAAAGGCTCATTTAGCCTAATGAAGATAATTTATTTGTATATGTCTTATGGACAAATGGTATCATATACAAGATTATAACATAGTCCTTATTTGTCTCTGATATATTTTCCTTGGAAAGGTGTACAGGAAGCATCTAGGTTCTTCCAGTTGTTCACATGATAATGGTTTTACGTAAAATGCATATTACTGTTTAGCAACCACCTAAATAGCCTATCCTAGGTTGTGTGGGTGCATTACCTGTATTCAGAATCCAAATAAACTAAGGAGTAACCAGGCCTCTTTCCACTTTGCTCATTATCCCTCTTTGTGTTACGATCAAGGGTAATATTTTTTAATTGAATCCCAGATTGTGTATAGATTTTGTTTTTGCCTCTTATTCTCTGGCACTTTCATGTATGTTTCTGGTAATGTATATGTTTCACTGTGCAAGGGAAGCCTTCCCTTTCCCCTATCCATATATATGTATAAAAATACAATTACTTTCAGAATTATTAATTAGAAAACCATACACAAAATTCAACAGAAGTCCTATAGTAAATAATTTGGTGTGCTTTAAGTTCAAGAACAATGTGCCTAATCTGCAAGTCTTTTGTAGTTGGGGAGCACTTGCAAATCAGTTGTATTCTAGGGTGTTTTCCTTTGTATACTCGGAGAACTTTTTAATAAAAAATGCATTCTCTTCTCCTCTTATTGGTGTTTAAATATATCCTTGGTAGGTCTACAAATATTTCAGATCTATTTTCTTAGAGTATTGATATGCTTCCCTACCAGTTACATTTGCATCAAGAGTCTTAAGATTCTTAAGTGAGATTTAAAAAGAACTGAAGGTAGTTAGTTGTTGGTTTCATTTCTGGATTTCTTTACATTTAAAGGCAACGCGGTGCCTTAACATTATTCTGTGTGTGATACCCTGTCCAATATTTGAAATTGAGTTTCGGAATGACCCAGCTGAATGAAAATGTTATTTTCTTTTGTTTTGTTTTGTTCTTTTTTGTGTTTTTTTGAGATGGAGTCTCTATCTGTAGCCCAGGCTGGAGTGCAGTGGCATGATCTCGGCTCCCTTATACCTCCCGGGTCCCTGGTTCAAGCAATTCTCCTACCTCAGCCCCCCAAGTAGGTGGGATTACAGGCACAAGCCACCATGCCCAGCTACTTTTTGTATTTTTTAGTAGAGATGGGGTTTTACCATGTTGGCCAGTCTGGTCTTCAACTCCTGAACTCATGATCTGCCCACCTCAGCCTCCCAAAGTGCTGGGATTACAGGTGTGAGCCACCACTCCTGGCTGAAAATGTCATTTTCTAATGTTTAATTTCACCTTTGACTTAATGGCATTTATAAAAATTCTAAGTTTTTTTCACATAATACTGATTGTCAGTTCCACTTACAATTGGATGTTCTTTAGCAGAAATATTAAAATAATATGTTTTGTATGTTAAACATGTGGGTAACATACATGTTTTGACTTCAAGGATAATACATTATCATGTGGATATCATTGGAACTCCATCGTGTGCTTTGAATAATGATTTTCTAAGGCCATGCATCTAGATTTTCTAGATTCACTGAATGATCTCTAGTTAAAATTTGAAAGGCTTAGCCTTAGCCATTGTCAATGATTATTCATTGTAGTCCCATTTTCTGTACATCTCTGACCTAATCATACTCCCAGAGAGCTAGTTACATGTGCCGTGGTTAGTGGAGCCAATATGCCATCAACATTTAATGTTTCTGGTAGTACGGATAACCCATATTTTTCCTGAATAAAAGTGAAGTTATTCCAAGGTTATGTTGAGCTATGTGAACAGATTTTAATTATATTTTCAAACATAAAAGCAATCTTTTCCTATCAGTTCCAATGACAAGGTAATCCCAGCAGAGAACTATGTAAAGATATCATACATGAAGGTTCATAATGTTCACGAGATTCATAAAATAAATTATTTAGGGTAGGATAGAATGCTAGAATTTTTTCCCTAAACTTTGCAAATATGAATAAAGTTGTACAAATAATATGGCATAAGGAATAGGGCTAAGAGCTTTCTAAGCATTGTTATTTGGGAAGGAAAGGATCGTTTTTCTTGCATAATGTCTGCAAACTCACACACACCGCTAAGTGGCACTCTGTCACTCTGTCAGTCTGTAACAGGAGTCCAGGGATACGGCTGGGAGATGGGAGGGTGACAGCTCCCTTCCTGGAAGGGAACTACCTGGAATATGCCTTAGGCTAAAGTTTCTTCAGAGACCACCCTTGAACATATTAGGGCTTCTTACTTCTTCTCTGCCAGGAAGGATATCCTCCCCCTCCTCCCAGGATTCTTATTAGCAGGTAGGGTATGTCCTCCATGCAGCAAAGCACCTCACCCGCTGAGCTCCTCCTACCTCAGGAATCCAGTTCTCATGAGCTTTTAACATATTCTTTCTCTCCCTTTCATCTTTAGTCAAAATATATTCAGGACCACCTTCCTCTTTGTAAAGAATATGACATTGTAATTGGCCTTTGAGATTAATGGAATAAAAAGTATTTCTGAGTTTAATGCTGGGACAATCTTGTAAGAGGAGGCATCTTTGAGTTAAGCCTCTCCTGGGCTGTTCAATACACCTGACGCTCCTGCTGCCTACCAGCTGCTTGGATGTTTTGAGCATTTCTAATAATAGCTCTTCTACCTACCTCAGTTCTTCTTTGTTCTCTAGCTCTAGGAAACCCCCACTCTAAAGGCTACAAAACAGTAGAACTCTGGGGAAAATGTTCTAAGTACAGAAGAGTTGGCTGGGCCCTGAGGGGTGCACAGCTACCTCTAGATAGCAGTCAGCAGGAGGAGAGAACTCTTCAACCCACTGAAGGAGAATTTGGCTGTCAGAGTTAGGAAAAAATAATCTACAGAAAATTAACATTTTCAAGCTAGAGGATAGCTTTGAGAGTCTCAAGTCCAGTGTTTTTAAAGTGACAGAGATCCTATGAAGCTAGGAATATTGTTTTTGGTTTCACAGAAGCCATTACCAGAACTCCTGTCTCTAGTCTGCTGCCCAAAAGCTGCAGTTTTACAGAAGAATTTGGTGCATTACTTTCTATAGTAATTTACCTGTCATATTTCTAATGGTGAAAGCAGTCTTATTAATGTTTTCCATATTGGCATGTGTTAGTTTCTATATGTATGGTCTTGAAAGCATTGTTGAGTATTCAGTGAGGTTATTATGAAACCTGTCCATCCAGGCTTGGGTTTTCTCTTCACTAAACAAAAGTTACATAAGCTTTTCAGACATTTAGTTAATTTTCTTTCTTTCTTTTTTTGACAATTGTTATTTAGTCTTTATTTCATAAGCATAAACTTAACTCTGCAATCCAGCTAGGCATGGTAAGGAAACAAGGAAAACATGGAACTGAAAGGGAACTCCAGCAAGAGCACAAATTTTCATTACGACTAGGAGAAGTCGGCTTGTAAGTTCGTAGGCACTTGTATGGAATATTTTTCATAATAGAGTCATTGTTTAGAAATGGTACTAATTCTATTTAAAATAAGTAAAAGAAGAAAAAAAAGAACTCTAGGCAGAAGGAACCTTAGTGTCTGTACTTCCAAGCTGCAGCCTAAGGGAAGTAGTGCTTTATACTCCAACCTGTTACACTGGTTTGGTGTGCATGTTTTCTTTCTGTGGTGGGAAAAACTTCTCTGTATTCATCATCATAAACCATGCCTGTGAGTGCCTTGAAATCTCTCTGATGCCACAAAGAGGACTAACCAGTTTGTGACTCTTCCTTCCCAGCCTATAGAACTAATTTAATAGCATTTTCAGTTAACAGAAGTGCAAGGAGCTCTGTTGGACCTGTGTTTCATGAGGAAGGCTTTCACTAGCCCTCAGTGATAGGTTCAAACACTTGAAGACCCGAAGAATTTCAGAGTTGACATTGAGATTTTGAGGTAACAGGGTATCTTGGAGTTCAAACGTCCAGAGTCTTTACTGGGAAAGTCTTGTAATCTCAGAACAAGATCAAGCAAATTTGGAGC